TATACTGTGCGCAGAATAATTGTAACAGGTTTAATTGCTACTACAAGACAAACACATTAAGAATATTGCAATGACAGAAACCTTAATTAGATGTGATTTAATACCATTTCAAACCTCATTTTTTATTTGCAACATTTGTAATCAGCGCGTAATGTAGTACTGACTGGTTCATATCCAGCGTAATTTATCAATGTAAAAGTACTCAAAATGCGATTGAACTAAATTGTGGAGAACGAATTACCGTTTTCTTTTTAGTTATTTGTACTCATGCGAATTCGCCAAGAAGATAGGTTTAAACTGTATCTGAAACTGGATGCTGTGTCTTTATGTGTTTCCTTTCTTCCTTCTTTCAAATTCCTATTTCTTTTAGCTTTTGTATTTGATATTTGAAAAATTATTTTTCTAAAAATCTGATAGAAAGTACCTATGTATTTTATATAAAACCGTAATGTACTTTCTAAGTATATATTATTAACTGATTTTCATCTTATATTATTTAAAAAAAGGAAGAAGATCTTCCCAATAGCAAACAAAATGAACATAGAACACAATGCAAGAAAAGTTTTCTGAAATAGGAAGGTTATAAATTGAAATAACAGAAAGTAAAGATACTAAAAAAATAACATTAATATGCAGTAAACAACTATGGCCTGGAATTATATTTTAAATAGACATTCAATATATGTTCTGGTTATAATATCAGCGATAATTATCAACGAAAAACGTGCAATGCTTCCGTATAAAAAATTCGGACTGATCGGCATACAATTCCAAAATACAAAATCATAAAATGGATTAAATTGTTACAAGAGCCGCATTGTTGTCTGGCTTTCGTTGGTATTTATAATTTGTTTAAAAGTCACAATACTCGTGATCTGCTTATTAAATATGTTATTATGCAGTTTTCTTTATATGTAAAGCCGGTATTACGTGTGTACATAAACAAACTCAGGCTTGACGTGCATAAGATTAGGCTGAACGCTTTAGGACTTATTTATTTTATTAATGTTCTTTAATGAACTTAAGTAAGAGGAACTCTACAGATAAACAATATGAGTGTTTAAAGCTGGAAATTAGGTGTTAATCGACTATAACATGTATAAAGCCCAAACACAGGTTGCAGGTTTTGTTAGAAAAGAATGTAAAAGGACAAAGTATAATATATTACAGCAAACAGGATTTCTCGCTACTTCCTTCACTAACTGGAACTTCAACTAGCTTCAACTAACTGTAAATATCAATAATCATAAGCCGCCGTGTGTTAGATTGCTGTTGATGTGCTCACGAATTACAGCGAAGGAAGCGATAAAAATCAGTAATTACTAGATATATTTCCATCCAAATACTTCTCTTCTATACATACATGCAAACTTACGCATCATATGTTTTCTTAAGATCTATTTTTCGACAGGAATATTTTTTTAATCCTTCTTCTGCCGATTGCAAATTGTATTTTAAAGAACCCATCACTATTTAAAACCGCGAATAAATGATCATAAAATGCTATAAAGTTATAACTGCAATCTGAAGCATTCGCTGCATAAAATCGTTAAAGTTTAAACTGGTTCATCACAATTAGAGCTTTTATATCTAGCTAATTAACAAGAGATTCCTCTCTAATCAGACATTATTTAAAAAACGATTGTTAAATGCGGCTATTTATACGTTTCATATTTGCAAGCCTAATTAAGCAGTTACAAAAAAACGATAATGATGACCGAGAATTCAATTTGCAAAAACGTGTGAAAATGTAAGTTTACATATGACATTTACGATAGCAAAAACTAGCTGCAAGCATCTCAGCAAATTTCAAGTCATACATTAAATTAATAATCAACAAGAACGAAAGCGGACATTGATTGATTGTGGTGCTACTTTCGATACTGATCGTCCTGGAAAATTGCTTTTCTATCAATCTACCTATGGTGTTGTAACTGTAGCACATATTAAGTAATTAAATAAAAACTAAAACAAAAATGACAAAAATTCAATGAATATATGCATAATTATATAAGGCCTTACATAAAAACGACCTCGAAAATTAAGTTCAAGCCATCAATACGCCTTTTCGACCTGCACTTTCACAGTCTGGCCAGCCCACCAATCTGGTTGCAATCCATAATAATGAACAATTTGACATTTCAATTTGATCCGGTGACTGTTAACCGCATCAATTTTATGGTTCTTCCTATGGATTTATGTGGCTTCCGATTTATAGTAACAGGATGTGTGATTGCGATAAGCAATTACAATCGGGTTTTCTAGTAAAACGAATTCAAACTCATCAAAGATAGTGTTTCAAATCAAAAAAATGCTGAGGTTTTTAGGTATATACTTTTATTTGAACATGACCAATTTATGAATTGATAGTAGAAAGCAATTTAAGTGCCGTTAAAGACCAGCTTAATGGTTTCAGTAATATCTAGTGCTAACAATTTCCACATGAAAATGGATGCGGTTTATTTTTCGCAAATTGTCGACCTATTTTGGCGAGTAATTTCAAACTAACAGAAACAGCCTCTACTCAGTTTCAAGAACCGAACCATTCATTTTAAAACGTGGCATCAAATAAATTTAATAGCGCTATTCTCTTTAAAAAAAAATTAATGCTCAAAAAAGAACAAGTTTGGAAGTCATTCTGATTGATTTCTAATTTATGAAATAGAAGTGGTTTGCAAATATCTATAAACTTTCAATAAATTTTGCAGCTTTTGCTGAAGAAATGGAGGAAACCGAAGCAATCAATTATTAGCCAATTAACTCCTCCAGGAATTTATTTTCACTTCATTTATAATAACTCTGTGTCTTTGCACATGTGTACAAAATTGATGGCTTGACCAGGTTGAAATCATATGGTATTTTCTCAGAATACACCATCGATAAAACAATTGAGAGGTCTGACTGTTAAGATTAATTTCCAGTTGCCCTTTTGTGACACACGAGAAAGTTCGAGGATTAAAATTACCGCCACCAAAATTGAGTTCTGGAGGTCGTTTTTATGCAAGACACGACCGGGTGCCCCATATGATGTAAGCACTTTATTTATGAAGTACTAACAGCTTGTTTTCAATTGTAAATGACACTTAAAAGCCACTTTATCGGTCTGCAGTTTAAAGAAAAATGCATTTTAATTGATTGTTACAAGTAATTTAAGGGCTTCAGTTAAAGATTCTGTCCAAAGGTTAGCTGATTTTATGGTGACTCCATATTGCATGTGGGCGTTATATTTATATATTCGGTTTCCTGCAGACTAATTTATGATCCGCCAGACTGATGAAATTGGAAAAGTTGGCACCACACGCGATATAAACTATATTTTTCATTATTCATTGCGGAATTCAAACTTTTTAAGTTAAACGTACTCGAGTTAAACAATTATTTCTCTCATCCACCTTCAATGGAAGTCGTTTCTAGGTCAAACCCAATCTAATACAAGCAGGTTATTTAGTTATTTATAATAAATTGTAAAAAAAATGATTGTCAAGTTCTTCCTTGCTTCGCTTTTCAAATCCTTCTTGATGAGTGAATTTGTTTATTTCAGGTTGTCTTTGCAAATCTGCGAAATAATGACTTAGATCAGTCAAATAGCACAGACGTAGTATGTACCAACTAACATATGCGTATAAACTGAATACATTTAACTGATCATGTTGTCAACAATGTTTCATATGCAATTTATTACACGTGGAATTGACTTCCTAGACTACTGAAGACTAAACACCTGCTTTAATATTCGCAATGAATAATAATTATAGATATATAATGTTTTGCTTATTGACCAATCTAAATAGTGCAAACGCGTTCACGGTGCTTTTGCTTAATATTAATTTAATAGTAAATGTTATCCAAGAAATAACGATTTATAATAGTTCTTCCCAAAACATTGGAATTTATTGGGTTGGAATTGTGTCGATGGTCGATTTTGATAATCTAAGCAGTTCACGAACTGTTTTTTACATCGTTTGAATAATTTCTTAATTATAAAACATATTGTGTTTACAAGCATTATCATACTACAATTGTAACCCATCTGTGATCTTCTTGCAATTAAACCGATTCTCCTTTACAATATTTGTTAATAGTTTTGACTATTGACGCCCATCTATTATTTGATAAAGGACAAAATACATTGGCTTGCATACATAGTCCACTATTGTTGATCCATTTTCACTCTTATCATTTTTCACACAAAAATATATCTTACACAAATTCGGTGTATTTCCAGATTCGTCTAATCTGATTTAAAGTATAATTAACAAACGAAATTTCTTCAGTTAAAGAGGACTTCTAATAAGTAAAATAAAAACGTTTATACTATTTACAAATTAGAAAAATATACAGAAAAGTTTAACCTGCTAATTGTGTGGAAATTTATGGATTAGAACTAAATAGACACGACTGGAATTTCAAAGCGCAATACACTCACGAATGAAATATAAGCATAAACTAGTAAATGACTGCGTTTCAAATTATGAAATATTTGGAAAAAAGGCTGCCATACAAGGCTTCATATTTATTATTAATATACCAGTTTCAAGAGATGCTGTCATCGATCTACCTAAGGAAAATCGATCATTACACATTTTTTAGCCATCATTTTAGACAGATGTGACCTTTCTAAGTCAATTTCGAGCAAAAATGTGAATAGAAATGGTTTAAACCTTTACACAATCTGAGATAACTTAATTACCGTCCAGCGATCTAGTCTAGTCCTAACACAATCTTAGCGTGTCCTTTTAGAGAAAAAATTCGTAACACTGACCCCCTTAAGTCCGCGAGTGAGAAGGCGTATACTGGCAATGCCCGTAAATTTTCCAAAACAATTTTAATTTACTTGTTTTATAAATTGAATCTGATTTTTGTCAGCTAATGCGCCAACTCGGTAATAATCCACATTGCACGTGCTTTATTTACCGGTCGCCGATTTTTCCAAGACCGGCTCTCGGTGACAAACGAATTGCATAATGGCCCATATGACAGAATCGCCATATATATAAACGTACTGGACTGAACATGTTATCAGTCTGCGAATTTTCTTCGGTGGTTGCTTGATTAGGTTCCGATCGGTTCTTATACCTAGAAGCTATTGCAATTTCGGGCACTAATTCCAGTGTTTCTAGTTGTTCGTTTGATTAACGAAATCGAAGTTTCAAGATGTTCAAAGTAAGTCTAAAAATCAAGTTAAAAAAAAAACTTGAAAGTCTGAAGATTGAGAGAATGTCCGGTAACCCAATTTCTTCATTATTTATATTTTTTTAAATCAGCAAATTTTTGCATTTAGAAGATCACTATTTTTCAATGCGCACTTCAGTTTATTTTACATTAACCACTGCAAACAAACCGAGTCTGGCGAAAACTTATTAAATTAACCGCCAAACGCCATCTAGTCTATTGTTGTTGCCTTATCATGAAAAAATAATCCCCAGGTTTCATTCATCAATTAAATATCTGTTTGTTAAACTTTTAAACCACTTAGAATGGTCACTTTTAAAATGAGAACAAAATGCATTCAGTTCAGTCAGAAAGTTGCGTTAGTTTGTGGTAGTTAATACGATTTACGCAGAATATAAGCTGCGAGAATATTTTGAGCCAAATGAAATGAAATCTAAATACTAGTGCATATTGGTCACAATCAAAATGTACTTGTTGGTGTTACTCAGAAGAGTTTCTTTTAAATACAATTACTTTTTTCTTAAAACCCACTAGTTTTACGATACTATTAACAAAACGGCTTGGTGAAATCTTTCATAGTTTTAAATACAAATTGCAATAAATTGCATACTTTTTAAATTGTTTAATGAAAATGATGAGATCTTAAAATAATTTAAATTGAAAATACTTAAATATATTAAATAATTAGTGATTTTTCGTTTCAAAATCAAAATGAATTGAAAAATCAGAAGCAAATATACAGGCTGATCCAATTAAGCGTCCAGCATTGCTAACTTTGTTATTTATAAACCTGCAAAACAATTTAAACTGGCAAACTCTTTCAATTCTTATTAAGAATGAAATCAGTGCAATCTGAAAATCTATTCAGTGTTGTATTTTCTAGTTTTGGAGTAAATATCAACTTTTTTAATGAAATCTCTGTATATTATATTATTTTCTATTTCAACATTCCATTTAAAAACGAAAACACTAGAATGTATTTTCTTCTGAGATTAAAATTAATGACATTTTGAACCGAAACCCATTAATTTAGTTGAATCAAGAGAAGAAGTTCAGATCTATTAAAATTCGACACTGAACGGAGTTTGAGCAAAACAGCTTTTGAGCAAAACACCTCTGAAGATGCAAGCCACTAGTACTTGCGAAACGTCAAGAAGAAATTATTTTCAACCGCGAATAAAAGTGCGAATAACTCACCAGTTTCGGTTTATTCGAACTAAAAAGATTATTCACTCTTTCAACATTAACAACTGAAAAACAATATGGACGTTTTCCTAAAATATGCTCAAAACCGTAACTAACCGATACATTTTTAGCACATTTTCTTTTTCTGCTCTAGTACATCTCTCTCTATAACTACATGAAGTATTGTTTCATCCTCAGCCTGGTTTATTTTTTCACTAAGTGTACGAAGGGTTTGTGAATTAACGTTACAAGAACCGTATTTCGTAATTGATAACTCAATCCCATATTTAGAGAAAAAAATTGTGTCTTATCTTCAATTAAGTACAAAGTTAAATCAGAAAAACATGATATACAGTAGTTTCAATCGAAAACAATTATATCTTAGTTCAAAACTAAAGAATGATGCTCAATTGATTTTGCTTTCCACAATTTTAATAAGCGTCTAAAATACTACTCCCTTGTTTAGTTTTTGTTACAAATATGGCAAACTTTTTTAAAATTATAACTTTTTTAGAAAACGCTATTTTTTTTTAAACAGAATAAAGTTACGAGCTACTATACAAAAATTGTTTCGTCACTTTGAATAAGCATCGTAATGGTTGCATTAGTTTCCAGTTTAAAGAAAATTACGAGATAATCAAAATTACAATGTGGACAATTAAAAGAAGAAATATCGACCATTAGCAAAAACTTTTCCGATTTACCCAAATTTCAAGTTTTTGTTACATAAAACTGTGAATTAACGAGTAGGAAATCAAAATTTTCCTGATACCATCATACTTCAAAACAATGTTAATCGAAAGTTTCAGACCGTTGAATGTTTTAAAGACAATGTAATTTCGATCAGATTATTTTCACTCAACATTGTCTACCACCTTCAAACAACTAGAGGAAAAGTTTATTGCAAAGCACTTCCTGGATGCTTTTCAGATTGCTTTATAAACTTTGCTCATCACTCTTGTAACGGCAAAACTTGGGGCTTTGGTTACTGCAAAGTAAAACGACTTTTTTCAATTAACTCTCTCGCTAATAATTAAGGTTAAAAAAATTGAGTGTAATTTTTAGCAAAAAACTGATCTACTTCTATTTTTGTTTCAGCTTTTCGCGGTTCTAGCAATATTTGCTGTCTCCGTTAACGGCAGCCCCATTCTAGAACCTTATGCAGTCGCTCATGCTCCTGCTGTTGCTGTAAAAGCTGAACCATACAACCCTCACCCACAATATAAATTCGAATATGCTATAAGTGTAAGTAGGTACTCGTACAATATTTAACGGAATACGTATCACATATAACTCCAACTTCGAAAAGTAGGTCTTATAAACTCTTCCAGCTGAAACGCTTAAATTTGAACAAATTTAAAAAACATTCTAAAAATTATATTGAGAGTGAAGATCACTTATAAAATACTCCAGATCAGCTGTCAGAGTAAGGAAAAAAGGTGAAAGTACCGGTAAAAAAATATAAGTATCACATCTGTTGCAATTTTCACGTTCAACGTGTATTGACTTTGCCATATTATTCACGAAATTTACCTAATTCGTACCATTATCTCTAATCGATTGCCGGCTGAATAGATAACATTTCCCCGAAGGAAAAAGCATTCCATTACTAGGAAACGCGTGTTTCCATGTCTTTTTTGCGGTAATACATCATGATAATTAAGTACAACCTATTAGCGATTTATATGAGGCATGCCGCCCGGCAATTTGTGGAAATTAATTTCATATTCTGCGTTAAAGTATTAGCGTGCGTTCGGCCAATAAGGAAATAGTAGCAATCGTGTATTTATTATTGCTAGTCAGTAATTTGTATACTCATAACGAAAATACAAAGCAACGCCCAAAACAATACTTTGTAATAGCAAAAGTTCCAGTGTAAGTGATTCCAAACAAATAAATAAACAACTTTGTCCATAAGAGACCAATATTGTGAAGGTTTAACATGTTCTACACTTTTTGGTGTCGTTATTCTCGTTTCTTTTCTAGTCAAACGAACATTTTTCCTTGACTATACTCAGTCATGAGGGATGCGTCCTCTAATTGTTTTAACATTTGAGCCCAGATCTTTTTTGCTCTTCTTTCAGTTCCAGTTTTGTCATTTCCTATAAAAAATTACCATCTAATTCCTAGCTTAACACATCGCCCAACCGCAAAATTTTTATGAAATTGCATCATTCATATGCCAAATATAGCTGGAAATGCTAATGACATGTAATTTTTCCTTATATTTATCTGATGGCTCATTTTTACGATATTAATCACGACAACCTTAGCCAAACGAAGCTTTTCATATACTTTACAGGACCCTCATACTGGAGACCAGAAAACTCAAGAGGAAACGCGGGATGGCGATGTCGTCAAAGGTTCCTACTCTCTAGTCGAACCAGATGGTTCGCGTAGACGAGTAGACTACACTGCTGACTCCATCAATGGCTTTAATGCTATCGTAAAGAAGGAACCTTTACATCACATCACTCCCGTAGTGAGTCATGCACCAGCAGTAGCTGTAGCACACGCTCCTTTAGCTATCGCTCATGCTCCAGCTCCATTGACTATTGCTCACGCTCCCACTCAGTTCACTATCGCTCACGCTCCAGCTCAATTGACTTATGCTCATGCACCATTAACGGTACGTAAAAGTAATTCGCTATTGTTCATTACTTATTACTGCCATTCGTTTTTTCTTCGCCAGAACGGAAGAAGAACTCTAATAAGTTCTTTTTACTTACAGGTTGCCCATGGACCAACACTCTCAATTAACCATGGCCCCTACCTAGCAGCTCCCGTTCCATTACATGCACCAATCACTTACGCTCATGCCCCTCTTGCTTACGCTCAGGCTCCAATCACCTACGCCCATGCCCCACTAGCTGTGAAGACTGGAGGCATCAGTCATCACAGTCAAACCGTCTTGCACTGAAGATGAACGCAATGGCCGAAACGTTACCACCATTAACCGAAGGAATTTCTATATGATCGCTTGTTGCCCCCATATCAGTAGTTCATCGTTGTAAATACACCATAATGTAGAAGTAAGTGAATATATTTTATTGTTTTTAATTATAAAGTCGTTGTTTTTTTTGTTAATTACTCATCACAAGAGAACTGAAATTCTGGGTTTAACAGCATAAAAGTTTTTCTCCATCCACTACATGTTCATGACATGAATACAGAATTTTATGCAACTCTCAGAACTTTATAATGCAACTTAATTAGAAACGGTTGACGAAAAATGCAGAGAACTTTACTTTTACGTATTTCATTTCTTCACATTTCAATATCACAAACAATCAAGTCGCGCTATAAAGGTTTTCATCTTTGGTCAAAAACTCTTCGGTATTGCTTTACTCCAGTTACTTTTATTACTTTTGAGTTTTATTCGAGGTTTATCCGACATAATCTGTTAAATTCATACTTTATAATGTCCGAATATATTCAGCAATATAGCAGATTAAGTTTGGAAATTAATATAACTTTTGTAATTGTTTTATCCAAAATATGTAAATATGTAAAATCTACGTACTCTTACGTTATTGCATTCGTAATAATAGACCTAGTACGGAAACCTTGATTCCTTAAACTAGATAACAATCATTTTTGATGACCGCAGCATACGAACACGGCAAATTTCTCAAATAAATTTTCAAAATTATAAAAATAAGCTGAAACATCTCAATATCAACTAACGAAATCTATAGCGGCAATATACACCAATCTCAACATTAAAAATAGATTAAATTCAATCAAACGACAATAGAACTTAAGAAACATCAAAATAATGGAAACTCACACCGAAATGTTTCAAAACACAAAAGTTCTTTTCTAGTTGTACACTAGAAATAAATATATGTATTAATGATCATGAATAAAGTCTCAAGTTAAAAGTTAGATAAATTCAGATATATAGAAAATGTCTAAATATCACTGTAAAAGTAAGTTTAATGGAGCCATTTGGTATTCGAGAGACAGCTTCACACAGATTTCGTTTCATATTAAAAAATCTCGAACATTTTAATTTAAAAAGAATTAAATATTTCTCACTTAAAAACCATGTGGACAAATTGTATTTTTTTAAACTGAAAATTCAGTTTCAAATATTGATCGCAAAACATTTTGTAGATACGATCACGATCGCATTTTAAACAACTTATTGTGGTCTATACGTGAACTTTAATAATGCCATAAAATAAATAGAGCAATAACCCTCTTTAATATTGACGTAACATTCAGGGATATCGTCTAAATCTATTATTGGCTCGAACCATACTTTAGAGACTCAAAAACATTGGTAATCTAAAGTTGCGTTGTGGTTGCAATGAATACGAGACAATGAAAGTATTATGAATTATTTAACACAAATTGAATTAAAAATAAGGAAATTGTCGTTAATTTATAGCAAACATAATCGGTATTGAGAAATAGAAGTTTTATTTTGTAAATTTAATTACACTTTAATTAGATTAATTCCAAAATAAAAATCAATCATTGCTTGCTAATGAGCTTCGCTTTAGCTATAAAAACTGAAGCCGATATTTTTTAAGGTAAATATCATTTTAACAACTATTTCAGTCGTTTCTCTGTACAAAACGTTTTTGAGCTTTCTGTGTATAAAATAGGAACTAAATAACGCCGTTTAAGCATCAGAAGCAAAATTTTAAAAGACTAAGCGTTCTCAAACGAAACTTGATGAAAACATACCTTGTGACATTTCCGAACCCTTTAAAGATCTAAATTGAGTACAAAGTAAGGATTGTTTTATGAAATATTTTCTACTCTTTGAAACTGTGCGAATATGGAAACAAAGCAGACATTGCTGAAAAGTTTTCCCGAAATCGTCAGACACAATCTTCGACTGGTAACATTTTTGAAAGTTCTTGTTATGTAAATTAACAGCTAAAACGTAGCTGTTTGCAGACTTGAAAGTGCTTTACATTGAAAAATGTGCGTATGTTTATATCTGGAGTTTTTTTACTATTGCGGAGGGCAACTGCTAGTGACACGAGTAGAAGAATGCGATTAGAGCTATAAAGATTTCAGTTTCTTTAGCTTACCTAATTACATTTGATAAATCTACTAAAACTAAATATAAATATTTCGCAAGAAGAGATTTTACTTTCATACTAGTAAAATACTCATTTATAGGTAAAAATTTTCTTTAAAAATGCCTAATCGAAATACATTATGCGTTAAGGCAAGCTGAAGAGTAAAAGCATGATCTTCCTTAGAAAATTGGAAAACCGGAAATTCGCAAAATACACGACTCCCGGAAATTCAGGAAACGAGATTAGTGTGAAATGTTAAATCGCTCCATTGGGACTATATTTCATGGGCTTTCTTAACTAGCTCCATCACGAATGCTTTTAAAAACAGTGATGTAAAAGTAGATTTAGAGAGCTCTGAACAATATTCCACAACTTTTTCCCTTCCAGAGGGTTTTCAGGAGCTTGAGCGTCCTACAGTGTTCGGTCATAGCTGGCATTTACTTAAATAAAAGGCATGTGGACAAAAACGAAATAAATTCCAAGGATGGAAAAGTTTTCATTTCAGCTGCAATACTGCAGTTTACTTCTGAAGTAGGCCATTTATTCCGCAGTACAAACAGCACTTAAATGAAGGAACTTCCTGGGTAAATTTGCAAGAAAGTATTCTCTAAACCTCGAAAGTCAGCGTTCTGAATCGATTGACCCACATCGGGGGCCCAGGGGGGATGCTCCAAAGTATCCGGGTTATTTGGAGGGCATTAACCCCCTTAGATGGCTTTAAGAGACCGTAGAAATGAAGACTACTAAATGGTCTTTGCTCTAAGACCCCTTAAATGAATACTATAAAAATCGCTAAACTTTAACATTTACCGCTAATTCAACGCAATTCAAACTACACATTGGGTTATTTTAGTCTCCACACCAAACAGAAAGTAATGAAACTTAAAGAACGTCCTTGCTTCTCCTATGGGATAACATTGAATGTTGATAATTTCAACAATCCTAAACCATTGTCTGAGTGGCATTTACTTAAATTTTTCAATTATCGCAGAAAATGTAGATTTCAGCACCTTTACATTGCCAATGAATTGTCGTGCAATGATTGCTCAATAGAGCTTCGGGCTTTTCATGAAATGATATTCATGCAGCGTAACTGAACTATTGAAAGTACATCTTTAAAATCCTGATATAATCTCATTAATAACTTGGAAGTATTAATAAGATGGATCCAAGCGAATCAGAGCATAACTAAAGAGAGCTTTTCAACCGATAAGCAGCTATCATGCTTTTCATTCGAGTTTTCATTACGGATAGAGTTTTAAAATTAATGACCTGCATCAAAGCCAATTTTTTGCACTTTTTGTTACATAACGAGGATTATCTTTCGCTGGGGACAACCTATTTCTAGTCGAATAATAATTAACTATTTTAGAATAGCAGAAAGTCGAGTTTTCGCAAGTGCAAAGTTTGCAGTCAGCGGTTTAAGCACACACGTTTCTAAAATAATACATCAATTATTAATAGAGATTTTACACGTTACTTCTACAAATAAATAAATTTTCAAAATTAACAACAACAAAAATGATTCGTCTCAATTGTGTTTCATTCATAGTTTGTTTAAACAATTGTTGGGTATTATGAAATTCTTGCCAATTATTTATTAATTCGGTAAAAGACTGAAACGCTCTGAATACTGGAATGTCGAAAAACGTACGAAATGCACAAAATATTTCTCGATTCACCAAACGAACGTACATGCGATTTCTTCTATCGCAAGGATATTTTAAATATACAGTCGAATATAATTAACAAGTTAAATATAAGTCGATCGCACAATGAAGTAAATACATCAAATACGAAAATAAGTTACTTATGAGATAAAATTTCGTAGTAAATGAGTTACTAGTGATTTATACGTTATACGCTAGGATTTTACTAACCTCTTGTATTTGTAGCTGAATCGGCAATTTTCTGGAAAGCTTCTAGATAGGCGGTAACTGCCAATATGGTAGCTCTGCAAGAGAAACATTTTTATTTCCAATTTATATATTTTAGAAGCACGCATAAGAAGTACTTAATTCTTTTTTATTTGAATTTAGTAATTGATTAATTTAAACGTTTTACATAAATTATCTTGAAATAACTCGAATTTTTTATTTTCCAATTTGATGTTAACTAATGTTCTAAAAGAAAAAATCAAGTAGTATATATAAATGCAAATTGAAAAACCAAAGTAACAGTTCACCTGCTTTGATATACATATATCAAAAAGTAATCAGTTTTAAGAAAATATATAATAATCAATTAAAACCATATAGAAAATAACTTTTCCATTCCCTTCCTTAAAACTTTTCATGTTTCCAAATTATGCAGATGACCTTTCCAGCTGTTAATGATCTAAACTCTTCCGACTACATATTTGCATTAAAACATTGCAAAAGTAATCTATTTTTAACTTACTTTAATGAGGAATGGAGCTTGGTGGCTTTAGCAATAAGATCCTCCCACAGTGGCATGCCATTCTGAAACAAAACAACGTTTATCATTGCTTTTTCATCCTTAAACCACACGAAATTTCCATTAGATTTAAGATTGGCTTGAGGAATGACATTTAAGTCAAGTGACCGCGAAACATTGTAAAAAAACGGGTTTTAGATGATTTAATAACACGTTTGCTAAATATGACCGCACCAAATTCGACCATTTTTGCCGCACAAAATGTTCGAAACCAGCTTCCTTATAAGAATGCTTGTCTGTAACTAAGAAAAACTCGTGTAATTAACACAAAGTACAGGAATCAAGTAAAACGACTTCCAATTGTGTACTCAGTAATTTCTATAAAATTTTTAAACTGATAAAATGCTTCCATTTTTAAACGAAAAAAGTCAAGGAGCCGTCATTGAACCTAAAAGCTGGACTATTCCTGATACTATTTTTAACATCTAGTATTCTGGACGCGATCCAAAAGGTGTAAATTGAAGGAAAGTAAATAAAGATTGTGTGTAACTCACGCTAACCGACACTGCTTGAAATTATGACCCAATGTCTTCTTTACAGCTAATAAAGGTGCACATACAGGACAGTTGTTGGAGGCTACAAAACATTTAAAAAATCCTTCCTAGAATTAGTTTTTGGTTGAATCAGAAGATTTATTTTAAAGATTATTGTTTCACATTGTTGGTCCTTAAATTAAACTCTTCCCACACACTATATAAAAATTACTTTATTTTTAGCAAGAAACGTACCACAAAACATCAGAAAATAGCAATTTTTGCAATTGTTCGAAAATGGCAAGTTTTCTTCAAATTGCGGTCCTTATGTACCGCATATAAAACTGCTTGAAATAATGTGACATCTTAGTGACGCAAATGCAAGCAAATTATATCTTATTACCAAATTACTTGATAGTGTATGGTACGCCTTAGAAGCCTGGAGTCGATTTACATGTTGTATAAAGCCGAGTATAAAAGTGTGTTAATCAGTGCTAAATGGAGCGACTAGCTGGTTTAGATATTATATAAAATGAATTTAAAATTAGAATCTACTAGGACAGCAATAAGTGCATCTTATAAGACATTTCAATAAACTGAGAAAAATCAGAATAATTTCTCCTTAGTAAAATGTAAGATATGTATTTCCTACAGTTTCAGGTCAAAGACAGCAACTTGAAATTGAACTTTACAACAGTGTCGTTAAGGTTCAACGATTTACGGTAAAAGTGACTTGACCAAGATAATGTCAGTGGTTTGAAATGGCTTAATGGGTTTATAGGATCAAATAAAAACCCTTGAGAACTTTGAAGCTTGCATTTTACAGTAACAGCTAACATGATAGTTTCATGACATGAAACAGTAAAAGTCTAGTTTAGAAACGGAACAAGTAATAGCGTAAAACAAACAGAAGTGAACAATAGTAAGCCATTGTATGCCATGGCTCCGATCGGTTTACTAATAGATCATTTCGCAGCAAATCTTTGAATCTTGAATTAAAAAAAGAAAGTTGATTTACTTCAGAGGATAAAATTTGATTAACCCAAAGTAAAACAAACAAAGCCAAACTAACCGAAGCTAAACCAAACGAACCCGAACAAACCCAAATTCAATATTTTTTTCTCAAAGATTGTAGATCAATTGTAAAACGTATTCAATATCTTTCAGACAGGTCAAAGAATAATATCGTCATCTCTTTGTTATTTTCGAAAACCATTTTTGGATTTTTTTTTTTATTATATGTTGGCAGTGTCTGTGTGTCTACAAAAACATGCAATCGATTACAAAAGGATAACTAGACATTTGTATTTAATTCAAACAATAACTGTTTAAACAAAGTTTTAAATGCTTTTGTTTCGAAAATGAACCATTTGCTAGGAAGACATATTTATGATAATGCCGTTTAATTATGTAAATACAACCATTCTAGAAAACACTTTTTGTATCTGATTTTCGTTTGATGTATTAACACATTTATGGAACACTCAGTTTATATTTATTTTTTAAGCGCGTCGAACAAGTTGGTTACAAAATCACACTTGCTTAAACCATCAATAGAATCCCTGTTTCCTTATGTTCAACAATATAGGCATGATCTAAAGAATATTTAATCTGTAAGGACATTTTCTCTGATGGAAGTTGATAATTCAACTGGAACACCCGTAATAAAACACGCGATGACAAGCTTGCTTTGTTACCAGACTCACAATTTTTAAACAATTTTAATAACGCTTTTGTGAACATTGCTGTTTTCGTAATTGTTGAAGTTTTCACAACGGCTTAAGTGTACAAAAAACTCAACTAATCACAAACAATCTCAAAACATTATGACATTTTCACTCATTCAAATCAAATTTAAAAAAAATAACCAAATCGTCACCAAAACTTAAACTTGAATAATTATATATCCAAACAAAAATCGAAACTTTTGCATAAATTTGAAATTTTGCTTTAAACAAGTCGGATTTTGCGGGTCTAAAGAGTCCGAGGAATGTAAAAAGTTCTATAGGCTTTCTTTATCAGGAAATTCAATGAATGCGTCCCGATACGTAATATCTAAGAACGTTGATAATTAAAGCAAACACCGAATACAGAATAATCTAAAAAAAAAAACAAGAAAGAGATTCAAAACATTTGTAAAACACTATTCGTTGGCCAATTACGTAACAAAATCATTCCTCAACCGAACACATACAAATCCGATTTCCGGTGCAACGAAATATAAATCAAACTCCTGTTTCAGGCGATTTAAAAACCACATTTTACTTTAAAATAGACCGCCGTATCCTGCGATATTAATAAAGAGTAGTTTTGCGGGCCATTCTTGTTTGAATCAGAGCCAGATGGTGGATTATGGAGCAGCCAAGTGTCACATATGGCGAATTGTTTAAGACATTTCAATGTGTTCGACTCCAGCACTGTTTATATTGGCATCAACAGATCGTTTTTCAAAACTCGAATTTGTTGGTGTTGTTGAATGGTTTTAAAATTTTCAAAAAAACAAACAGGGCAAGTGGATGAAAGTGAACATTTTCCAGGGCGCGAAATGACACGGAATCTCAACAAATAAACAACGTTCGATTTACGCAAAGGACATTTCTTTGTAACAGTAACATTTCACGTCTCAATTATTTTTATTTATTAATTGATATCCGATGTAAGGCGATTGATTATTGGTTGAATAAGTCAAAAGTGCCAACTTTCCATTCATATGATAATTAAATATCAGTCATAGAAGCAGCTAGTAGACCGAAACTTTAAGTTTAAATTGGGGAAACTAAAGCAAAGCGATAGGATTTTAACTAATACATTAAAGCCTTTTACGTACATTATCATTTAACTAATGATCAATAGTGCTAATGAAACCGATCCTTGGGTATAATTAATACAAAACGTCAAGCAATGCAAATCGAAAATTACTTATTAAGTCTTCCGACAAGCGAGCGGACATTGGCAATCTTTTATTAACATACGGAGCGTGTAATTTTCATATCACTTTTATATTTTCTTGCTGTCGACTACCTACTTTTAAAATATACTTCGGTTTGTTTAGATAGGTAGGCCGCATAACTGATGTCGTATTTACTTGCTGAATATAAATAAAGGCATATGCATGCGTGGGAAACCTGAACAAACTAGGGTAATGCGCTTAATTCGTTGTTAATAAGTGTATCGGTGAGTAATGATGAAAATAATGTGAATAATAATAATGCAAAAGCTTCCAAATCGATACTATTCCCTAGATATGATGTAGAATGAGTTCATAATGGGATTCCAAGTAACGTAATTAATTAGAAAGCAGATGACTTATATCTAATAATGTTTGATATAGATAGGTATATAAATTTTTATCAGTAGTAGATAATTCAACATCCCAGAAAATCGGGAACGCGTCTAATTAAATGTTTTACAGGGTCATATGAAATTCGGTTGCATATTTTGACATTATTTCTTATTTACATGTTATCTTCAATTCTCATCTCATTTTATCTAAATTATTTCACAAGCTGACTGAACAATTGAGGCAGGGTGAGCCATTTCAATGTGAGACACTCTTAAAATCTTTATTTATCAACCGATTTCAGCAAACTTTTTTGTATTAGCATGTAACACGGTTCCATAAAAAATATAACATTTTTCCGAAGTCAGCCATAACTAATCAACAAATTGAAGTAACCGACCTGTGGGTGAAAGCAACCAGACTTTAGTCATTTGTCTCAACTTTTCGCGCAATTTTGTTGAAAAAAATTACAAACATACATCTGGTGTTCTCTGCGGGTATGATAATCCAAAGGGCCGTTCTTCTCAAGCGACATAAAAAATATGTTAGATTGGACCACAAATAATTTTTTTAAGAAACTTTCCTCCTCTTAAATGTGTTCTTAAATTCAGTATCGCAATGTTCAAAATTCCCGACTTTCACTAAATTTAAGCTCATTTTCTACATGGATTAGCTTATTATCTACGTTTGGGTTTTGAAGCCATTAGCAGATAAAATTCACATTTGTCTTGAAGAACCGAAAGCTTCTTTACTAGAAGCTTTTGAAACAAGCGATGTGAAATTGCATTTTAACAGGCTGAAAGGCCAGGAATTTCGAACAATTGAACATGTAATGTGACCAGCATAGGGAGATATTGTATTATTAAGAATAACACAAATCATACAAATTAATGCAAAATATTAGTTAGTCGGAGTTGTCATTATTTACGTTTATTACATTATTACGGTTAATTTAACTTTTTACATATTTTCATATTTATAGCCTAGTTCCTGGCATCGACATTAAATATTACAAATATATTTTATACTGTGCCCTTAACAAATGAATAAACTCAATTAAAATTCGGTGAATTTTCTTTTTAAGAAAAATATTTTTTACAATCTTAAGTGTGTTACAGAGGTTTTACAGCCACCCAGGATTTGATTTGCGCAATCCCCCCCGTTGGTCTATTAACTTGCCCCATTACTGTAAAAATATCTGAGAAAACATATTTTTAACATGATTTGAGAAATTATGGTACTCATCCATTAA